CTTGAACTCACAGAGATCCTCCTGCCTCTGCCTCCCGAGTGCTGGAATTAAAGGCGTGCGCCACCAGCGCCCAGCACATAAGTAAATATTAAGGAAAAGAATATTTAATTGAGCCAGGCCTGGTAGTACAGGCCTATAATCCCAGCTACTTATGAAACAGAGACAAAGCGGTCTCTTTGGCCTCGGTGGCAGAATCAAGATGACGAAAGGAACGTCATCCTTTGGAAAGCCTCCCAATAAGACACACACGTTGTGCTGCCGCTGTGGCTCTAAGGCCTGCCACCTTCAGAAGTCCATGAGAAAGTATAACTGGAGTGCCAAGGCTAAGAGGCAAAACACTACTGGGACTGGGCGGATGAGGCACCTAAAAATTGTCTATCGAAGATTCAGACATGGATTCCGTGAAGGGACAACACCTAAACCCAAGAGGGCGGCTGTTGCAGCATCCAGTTCATCTTAAAGATTTCAGTCAGTCATAAAAATAAAATGTTCAAGTTTCGAAAACAAACAAACAAAAAGAAGATCTCAAATTCAAGGCCAGCCTGGGCAAGATCCTGTTTCAAAAAAAATAAAAGAAAGATTAGGGTGGTTCAGTGGTTGAGAGATTAGCTAACATGTGCAAAGCCCTGGTTCAGTCTCTAGCACAGGAAAGAAAGTATTTGCAAAGCTCTTCAGGTATCACCCTGGAGGTTAATTTTAGTGAAACAAACATACTTGAATTGTCTTCATTGCTCAGACATTGCTGTTGTGAAACAAGTTGATGTAAATTGGCTGAATTTGGTCTCCAGTAGCTTGACATGGGTCTCTCTGCTGCAACATTGTTGCTGTCTTTCCGAAAGTTCGTGAAGGCCAGGCGTGGTGGCCACAATTTTAATCCCAGCACCTGGGAGGCTGAGGCTGGCAGAGCTCTTTGAGTCTGAGGCCAGCCTGGTCTACAAAGTGAGTTCCAGGACACCCAGGGGTATATAGTGTGACCCCATCTTGAAACCCCACCCCTACTCCCAGAAAAAAGGAGGAAGAAAACTGGAGATTAGCTCAGTTGGTAGTTGGTAGAGGACTTGCCCAGCATTCAGGAAGCCCCCAGGGTTTTATCCCTAGAAAGTTACAAGCCAAGCATGGTGAAAGACACCTGTAGTCCCTCCACTTGGAAGGACACTCAAGGGTATCCTCAGCTACATAGGGAGTTTGAAACCAGCCTATGACACATGAGACTTTTGAAAACAAAAGCAACAGCAGCCACCAAATAAAATAAAAAAAAAAATAAAAAATAAAATTAAAAATTTAAAAAGAAAAAGGAAAAGAGAGCATGTGGCATGCTCATTGTATATTAATTTGTATATTAAATATAACTTATTTAAATGGGACAGGGATTTTTATGCATATTTATACATATTGATTTAGATGCCATGATCCCTGAATTGCTTAGATTATATATGTATTTTGAGAATCTAGTGCTAAAAATTATAGAGAATAAAAGGTTGACTTCTTTTTTTTTAAAGATGGGAGGTAGGTAGGATGGGGAAAATGTCATTATTCCTGTGGATAATACCAAGAAAATATGCATTTGACCTTTGCTAAGTATGATTTACAG